GGGAAAATAGAAAGTGAATTATTGATAAAAAAAATTAGGATTGAAATATATAAACAAACAAATATTTGATTGAATTTTAGTTAATTTTTTCCTAACAGAAAAAGCAGATTGATGGTGAAAATGATTATACAGAGAGATGGTGTGACCTTTTACATTAAATATAATCAAGGAGAAACTAGATAAGGATGCTTTAATTTCAGTTTCAGTGTGGGTATCTGCAGGGTATGGTCTGAAAAATCAGGATGGTGGATGGGACAATGCAATTAAAGCTTAGCCTGTTTGTTATATATTTTGCACACACAATACACATGATAAAATGGGTGGAACTTTGATAATACCATCCTGGTGATTTTTTTTAACAACATTCATCAGATTATACCAATATAATATAAAATATGAAAAATCAAAATGTCATATGGGTTAGATATTGTTAAAATTAAAAAAATTTGGGGAAAATGGACACTGTATTATAGTTTTAATCTAAGAATTGAATGTATTTTTTATATCCTTGCAAGAAGTCAGAAGTTATTCTTTGCATATAAAGCAAAAGAAAGCAAAATAAAAATATATCTTTCTGCACTTCTATTTTTATCTTTCTTTTTCCTCTTCACCTTTTCTTCTGATTGTTAGTTTATGTTAGTTTTTAAGTGTACATTTTGTAAAATTTAATAAAATTAATGTGAAACAGGATACCCCTGAATTTTAGCCTCAAGCCGAGGTTGGACTTGATTTAAATAACCCCTCCAACTCTATGATTATGTAACAACTTAAAAGATCCAACTTTATATTCTGTTTCAACTTTTTAAACTCTTAATTGTTTGATTAAGGCCTCCTTTCCCATATATTCCTTTCTAATGTTCTAGTGGACATCAGAGTCTGTGCTTCAAATTCCTTTGATGAAGTGGGATGAACAGTTATTACAACCTTTTCAACTGAAGTTCCCTTTTGCAAAATTATTTAGGGTGATCAGTTAGAGAAAATTTCCCTAATTTCTAAAAAATAATTCCATTCTCCTTGACTTTTTATGAAATATATTTTTTGCTAATTGTTTTTATGTTATAGTATATGCTTATGTTTTATAAGATATGTAAAGAGACTTCTGTATCTTTTACATAAAAATATGGTCTTGGCACTACCCCATAGACTCCATGCTCTGCAATAAGTGGACATAAAATTATTTCTGTCTGTCTTGCCTCTATCTCCTTTTGTTCAAACTATACATTAATAATTATGAGTTATAAATGGAATATTTGATGTCCAAACTAGATGGTTTCATCTAGCAGTTTAAAGTATATTTTTGGAAGCTGTTTTCAATAATATCTGTTAAGCTGCAATATTTTAGGATATAGTTGTAAAGAATTGAATGGAAAAATATATGTGGAAAATATATTCCCTGAAAAGAATAGTGTTCAGAACATGAGCTGAGTGGAAACCTAAGCACAGTCTTTATTCCAACATGCTGAAGATGAGTGGGATGGTTGATGAACAACAGGGACACATGAACAATCAAGTGGGCTGGCTTAATTATTGCTAATTTCACGGCATTTTCACAGTGTCTTTTTATAGCCTCGCTTGGGGAGATGGAATTTCACTGCAGCAAATGGACTCTGACCTAAGCTACAAAACAATTCTAAAAAAAAATACCTCTTCTTAAATAAAAGCAATTTATTTAATCACCTATGCGTGAGTTGAGTGGCTATATAAATTTGTTAAATAAATAAATAAAATACAGTACAGCATTTTAACCATGCAGAATTAAAATGTTCAACTAGTATTATAAATTAGTTAAACTTCAATACAGAGTTTAATTAAAACAGAAATAGGTATCTTACTCCAAGCTTAGGAAAATCAGGTTTTGGGGTTTCCTTCAGCACTCCCAAATTGGACCACAGACTCTTATGGGAAATTATGGTGTTACTGCAAGGGGTCTATGCCTTACATCTATATCTCCCTCACTTCAAATAGAGGAAACATTCTTAATAGGGCTCTCAAGATGTTCTCACCAGCTGGGCAAATGATGCCTGATGTATACTATGCTGTATAGAACTTAACAGATCATCACCAGGTTTCTGAATTGGGCCTGGAAACTCACCCAATAAAAGTTCATCTCCTGTAGTATTTTGTGTAAGTATATCAATAGGAGACTAGAAAATCCAGATGAAGATAGTTGTAGTTAAGTGATATAAATAAAAAGGACAGTAGTCTGCAAAGTCTATATTAACTAATTTCAAGTGGCTCCTTTTTAGGAAGCTTGGAAGATTTGTAGTGATAGAACAGTTGCTTAGCTCTTCTGCTTCTGACCATTTTGATTTTGGTTTTGTGTTGGTTGTTTTGCTTAAGGTCTCTCTCTCTCTCTCTCTCTCTCTCTCTCTCTCCCTCCCTTCCTTTCTTTTGTAAAAATGATCATTTAAATGGTGAGATTTTACCAACCAGGTTTAGGTGTTATAGAAATTGAAATACCATAAGAAAGAGATTCAAAACGGGTTTTGATATGATAGATATGTTATTAAGGGAGGAAAAAACCTAAAAGTAGACTGAGAAAATGTACTCATCCTTAGGGATGCTGAGGAAAATTCTTTAGTGTACATACAGTATCTGGGGAGGGACTTAGGTGCATACTTTTCCAGGAAAAACAGCCGTCAGTAGGCAATATCCAGCTAGATGAAGAAATAGTCTGGTTTTACACACTTTGTATGAATTCAGTTTAGATTTTTTAATGACTACTGTGTGAATTTAACAAGTCAGACAAGAATTACTAGGCTCCATGGACACCCAGGCCTTAGAACAGAGTCAGATCTTCAGAGATTTACAGAACATTTGAAAGGTGAAAACCATATGTATCATGGGGAGGAGATATTCCAGAGGGTGGCACTATTACAGAGAAGGTATACTTTCTTGATTCTTATCGTTGACACTCTTTTAACTAAAGAGACCCTGAGCACAGCTTCTTTGCTTGATCATACCTGAAAGGCAGAAATTATTAAAGACAAGGACTCCTTCAAATAATCAGGCCCTGTGCTATGAAGGGCTTTATATGGTGACAACCAACTTGCAATTGAAAGCCAACTGGTAACAGTGCAGTTCATCAGAGGTTACATGAAGGGCATGAAATGTCCATTATAGCTTGCACTGATACATTTACAATGACTGTAGCTTCCACATGGTTTTTAATGATAGCCCATGTAAAGTGCATTATAGGTGATCAGTGCATGAGTGTCCATCTAAATAGGCCTCTTTGCTGGTCAGTTAAAGAATGGAATTAGTGAACTAGACGAACCTATAGGCAAAAGTCCTACAGCTTCCTATTACACTTCAGCAGTATCTGTAAATCTAGTAGGACCCCCAATTTGCACACAACTCTTGAATGGGAAGTGCAACCCCATCCATGGCCAAAAAGTAAAACTTTCCCAAACCTAGAGATCACAAACAATCACAGTCTCTCTCAATATAGTCAGAATTAAGCCTGAGACTGTTCCTTCTATCCAGACTCAAATACTCTCCAGACAATGGGACAGGACATTTAAAGTTTCACCTTTGCAGTCTGGGTTTGAGATATACAATTAAGTATCACCAGCATATTGATGATTCCAAATGAATAGATGATTTCTTCCAACTCCTTTCATTGTTGCAGTAGTGGAATACTAAAACGAGTATGGGAGAGCTTTTTAGGAGGATCAAATTGTAGAATATTTACAATTATGTATGCAAATATTTGAAACTTTTGTTGGCATCCAAGTATCGTATTTTACACTGTAACATGACATTGCAAATTACAAAAACTAAAATATCAAGAACATAACTTGAAAGTAGACCTATACTTGGTCTTACACTAAATCAATTATTTCCTTTTCAGAAATATTCACATATAGTCAGAAAAACAGGAGCAGATATATCTTCTCTGTGCCATCTCCATCTGGATATGCCATCAGGAACAATATTATAAGTGATTTGTGCCAGAATCCAAGAGTTTCAATTGATATTCTGAACAAAAGAAAAGGGGCTGAAGGACCTTCCAACACATTTCTGCCACTAATACATATGTGGGCAAGAAAACAAGCTAAGAAAGAGTGAAAGCTAATCCACACTGAAACCTGTTCCTCTTCAAATTAAATAATAATTATTAACAAAGGATTAGGCTGTCCATTAACCAGAACAAAGGAGCTGAAATTATACTTCTGGAAGTGTTATCAGCCCTCTCTGATATCTCATTGCAAGATATTATTGGATAATATCTAGAGAAAATCTCATTTTGTGCACATAATTTACTTGCAAATGACACTCACAGAACAGTCTGTCCTGCTAATTATGATGCTACTTATTGCCAAGAATGGAGGCAGCTTCTTTATCTACTTCCTGTCTTCCTCTTTCCCCCTCTCAAGAAAATGACATAATAGAGCAATAATGCAGCAACTAGAAAGAAGAAGTTCCTTATGAACAAGAAATAAAACTTGGAATTGTAATTAATCAAAGCTGCATATAAATCAGCAGGGTAATCTGGCTGTTAAAATAAATAAATTCATTGAAAGTTAATTTTCCCCCGTGTAATCGTTTCTGCCCAAATTTTCCTTCCCACTTCATACTGTGTTGTACAGTAGTTCCCTAAAACAACAATAACCAGTTGTAATTGGAAGATGTTAGCGAACAAAAAAATAATAGAGATAGAACAGTAGGCAAAGCAGAATTAATAAGGAGAAATTGTTTAAGGTTCTAGAGGCTATAATAGACCGAAGTAGATAGTAGAAACATTACAACCTGGGCTACAATAAGTCATTAATTTAAAACTAGCAAGGAGATAAAGGGCAAAGGAAAAATAAAGTACCTATTTTCAGCGTGGGAGGAAGGTAATAGGGAATTGTTCCAACACCGGAACTAATGTTCCATAGTAAGAGTCAATGTATTATTGCTAGTTCAGAATAGATTTATTGAATATACTGCAGTAAAGAGCTTCCCCCCCACCCCAAGGAATACAGTGATCTAGCAGAGAAGAAGAAGACAAGACATTTTAAAAAAGCATTATAAGTTTTTATTGTTTTTGATTTTTTGCATTCCCCAGAACTCCCTTACACCCCATATTGAAATCCAATATTTTACAGGCAAATATCAATGGGAAGTATCCTATTACAATTTGACTCTATGACACTATTTCATGAAATGGGAGAGAGGAATCCAACCTCACCCTGTCCCTCCAATGTTTGGAAAACATCATCCCTGTGAGTTGTGATGCGGCTCTACCCATTTTGCATTACTAATATACTATTCTAGGTCTTTGCAAATAGAAAAAATGATTTTCAACCACTGCCCATGATGATCTCTGGCTGCTGAAATTTTACCTGGTATAGTTTAAGAGCTGCATACTAGCAGCAATTCAGTATATTCACCAGTTAATTAATTCAGCTTTCCCAACTGGTGCTCTTATTATGTGTTGAGTTTTAAGTCTCATCAATCTTTTGTATTCTTTCAATTCTCATTATTCACAGCCAATTCTGCCAGGATAAGTAGTCCAAAAGGACTGAAAGGTACCAGAAAGGTGAAATTTATTTATTAGATACATATTTTTTCTTCACTACAGGAGCACAAGATTGCCCAGCTAGTTTCCTTCTCCTGTTTTTACTTCATACTATCTGCATTTTTTATCTTTTCTTGTGTTATTTCCAAAACAGAACAACAATTCCTATAATCAGTCATGTTTCACAAGTCATTGTGAAAGCAATTTCAACAAAAAACTAGATTTCTGGCACTTTCTCACCATGGTTTTAAATACAAAAGGATATTGGCATAATCAGCCCTGAGGGACTGAAATAATTTATAATGGTAAAAATGTATACATACAGTTCTTGTGATAAATGTCTCTTTCTTTTAAAACTGAACTAAATATGCTAAAACATTTTAGGATTTCTTGTAAGACTGAAAATTTCTGACTGGTCTTTAAGATATATAGAAGCCATCTGGGAATTATGGTGCAAACCTGCAGAGTTTATTACTGTATTTTAATTATGAATAATTTCTTCTGCTGGATTTACTTAGCTTGGATCTCCCCAGGCCACATACCTGTTTAATGATGCTTCACATTTTCTGCATTTTTCTTTATTTCATTGCCATTTCTTCATACAATTTATTATCTCTTTATCGCTGTTTTTTGTACCAATCAAGTAAGATGAATACTTCCTGAAATTCCCTGTAGCTGATTCATGAAAACCTCTGCTGTCACGAGGAACAACTTGCCTTCAGAAGTTGTGGAGGTTTTTAAGAAGAGATTAGCCAGTGTTTCTCAACCTTGACAATTTTAAGGCATGTGGATTTCAACTCCCAGAATTCCACAGCCAGCAGTAGGGCCAGAGGACATGGATTCAAAATGTTCGCAGCAGTAATCTATAACCCAAGTCTCTAAAGTTGTATCATGCCTTGGAGCTAGAAACTGTGTCCAAACTGCAGTTTAATTGGAAAAAAAAATTACCTAAGCATAAGTAAATAATAGAAATCATATAATATGCATCATTTAAATATGTTTCAAATTAAACCAAATCTAGCTGTCCCTGACTATTGGGGAGCAATATTACTTCTTTACACACTTCTCAAATACAAAGTACTTCCCCAGTACAGAAAACTTTGCACAGAAATTATGAAGCTTAGTTAAGTTATATATCACTGAATCAGATATAACACTGACTGTACAGAAAAATATTGTCCATCCTGACCTGTCCTTACTAATAATTTGCCACTCTTCGAGAGACATACCTGATCTCTTCTGTCAGGGATCAATAGTTCCATCCGTCCCTGATCAATTGACTTTCCTTCAACCTTGTCAAGCATTTTTTTTCTTTTAGTTTGGATCACATGCCTGAATTATGTGAGTTCTGCTTGCTAATGATCACCTCAAGGGAAAAGTCAATCTTTATTTCTCCCAATACCAACTGCTTGATTGTGTTTGAAGTCCATAATGTAACTGTTGCCAAAACTATAATTCAAAGAAATCTCTTCTTTGCCTCTTTTTTTTTTCAGGGAACAGCTTTCACTGGCATACATTACTGCTGGAAAAACCATTTCTTTTATCTTTTGCAATCTTTGCCTTAATTGGTTTTATATTAGTTTCTCTTTAAATAAAATATCTAAGTTATTTTCTATCATAGTGTCCTGGTACATATTGACCACAACATTTAAAATTTTACAAATGGATTCAAATGTACTTTCTAAAGGATTATGATCGATCTCATTTCACCTTTAGCAGGACATAATTATATTCTATTTCACTATTTTTACTGTAAATTGTAGTTCAAAAGACCATTATGGGATCTACATTTTTTCTTTCTTTCTTTTTTCTTTTTCTTTCCTCTCTCTCTCCCTTCTACTTAATTGTCAAGTTTGACTCCCAATTCAGTTTTTTATAAGAAATTTATTACTTCAGCGGATACAATGTGTTATACAAAGCAAAATTATTTGAGTTTTTCATTGAAATCCTATACTGGATGAGGATCTCCCTCTTTTACCTCAGACCCCTTCTGAAGCAGGAAAAAAATATATATTTTAATTGCGAAGTGGAAGCCTACAGAAAAGGCCACACAAGCTAGAAAATTCCATAGCAACATAGAAACAATCTAAAAAAATTGCTAGTTGTGTATTTAGTCCTTTTTCTAGTAAGACAATATAGAACCTTGCCTAAATATTTTTCTATGAGTTTTTTTGCAGAAGTATACCAAATAACAAGTACTTCTAAACAAGCTGCTAAGTTATAAGTAAGAATGGGTGGAGTTGGTTTATTTGTAGACCTAGGCAAAAATTATCCTTCCAAATTCTCCATTGAGTTTGGGGACAAAAAAAAAAAAGATTATTTTTAGAGGTTTTTCCAGAGAAATGAGAACTTCTCCAACAATTTCCACAACAAAATTTCTTTCCTGTAATTTAATGAGAAATTATTTTAAAATGCAGGAGCATTTTACTTGCTATTACTAGTTTGTTAATAAGACTTTATTAATGATGTTTTGTTAATAATGTTTGCAACTTTGTCATAAATATAAAAGAAAAGATACATTATGGAATGCAGATAAATAAATAAATTTACCAAAACATTTAAAGTATTTAGTCAGAGTTCTTCTCCTAGTCAAGTATCATGTTCTTTATTGCTTACGTGATTCATGATCCTCCCACCAAACCTTTGAAATACTGTAAAAGAAACAAAAAAAATTATCAAAAAATATCAAGACATTTAATCAGATTTATGCATTAAATTGCATGAGCTTTTAAATTGTTTTATTTGGGGTATGACAAGCATTGCCTGTTAATAGTGTCAAATTTTCATTAAGATATTGAAAATTTGGATACAAATCTTTTAAATTTTCCATCATGATTAAGATATTACGTTAAATGTCACACTCTATTTTTGACAGCATCATTAGCTTTTAACAGCAATGATGTTAAAAGGTTCTAAATTAGCATCCTTGTGTTATCAATATTTGCACTTTGAATTTGTGAGGGGCAGATGAAAAAAAATATTCAGTTAATTTTCTTTAAAAAATGAGAACATTTTTCTCATTTGTAAACATTTCATCATATATAAAGAGTATATGAGAGTAAAGTCAGAGGAAATTTACTGAGAGAAAATCAAATTAATATATTCATTCTTTTACTTTTAAGAGGGCAAGTAGGAATGGGGACAAGATTAATTATACAGTCTTGTTAGAAATAAAAATATGCAAAGCTTGGAGTATAATGGATGGAAGAAAAAAATGCAAATTATAATGATTTTCTAAAATCTGCCACTTTTCTGAAGAGCTAATAGACTGTGGATAGAAAAAGAAGCTTTCTTGATAATGAAGTACTTTATCCTGTATCATTTATCTAGCACAAATATTTTGTAATATTGTTTCTGTAATACCTTCTGAAATTTCATTACTGATTTATAGGGTTTTATTGGGATATTATATCTCTAGACTACTGTTTTTGCACAGTCTCATGTCATTGTTCTCATTGTCTCATTTGCATTTATATTCATTGCATAGCTTTCACATGATTCCCCCCCCCCAGTAAGCATTTTATCACATCATCTGTTTTTTTAACTACAACATTCCATTGCTTGAGGACTGTTAACAACAAAGATCACAGATTCAGTCCATGCATTATTACTATATTCCAAAAATCATCTCTTTTCATTGATTCATCACTGCCAATTTCCTTGAAGGGATAAAGTATTAAAAAGATTCAAAGGAATCTTAGATATTTCTAGTGTTTGATGAAAATATTATTAAAAGTTGGTGTCAGGCAGCAAAAGTCTACAATTTGATCTAAATAATATGCCCTGTGACACAATCAGTCACATTGTTTTTTATATAAAAAATGGAAGAACTCATAAAACCTAAAGAATGATATATTTTAACAGAATATGACAGAAGAAATTAAGTAATTTCAGAATGTATCATTTAATTAGAAATTTATAGGCTACTTTATGTCAACTGAATTTTTAAAAAGCACTGTGTAATACTTTGGAGCAAGATAAATTCAAACTTGGGAATGAATGAAACTGAACAAAAAACAAAATGGTAATAAATTTAGTTATATGCGAAGCATATGAGGCTTTCTTAAAAAATACAGTTCTTTCAGGCGTTTCATTGTCTTTGACTTTGTATTACTTCTTTTTTTGAAATCCAAAGATAATTTTCTGAAAAAGCAGTATTTGCAATGATAATTAATAGGAATCAAGGCCAACACTGATTATATTAGATTAAAACAAAAGTTACTGCTTTAAGAACATATATGTACTGGAATAAATTGAGAAGACTAAATGTATAAAATAAAAACATCTCAGAACTTATTCTGTTCCATTTCCTCATTTTGTAACTTATTTCTTCATTTTCAGGGTTTTGTGCTCACTGAGCATGCTCAGATCATAGTAAGCTCTTTCAGTTCTTTTCCCTTTAAAATTTGTTCTCTGAAATGAGGGAGGGAGCCAAAAGCAGTTGATAGTGGCAGTGCAGGGGGTTGCAGGGGTAGTGGAGATGGGGAGGGGCAGTGTCAATCTATTGATTCAGCCTCCACAATAGTCCTACTTTTTCATATGGCCCCTCAGAAAAATTAAATGCCCACCCTGACCTAGACTCACAATTCCTGTTTGAGGAGAAGTTGGCAGTTGTGATTGGAAATACTTTTCTCAATTTTGCATTGTGCATCAGTTGTGCATAGATAAAGGGATCAAGTGAGTCTACTCATGATCACTTATGTCCTAGTCACCTGGATTTCTGTAATGTAATCTACACGGGGCTGCCCTTGAAGATTATCTAGAAGCAGTAGTGGCAGTGATGTGTATATGTATACGAACATATATTATGGTATATCTCTACTCTTGAACTGCATTGGTTAGAGTCTGTTTAAGGTGCTGTATTTGACCTTTAAAGTGCTGAATATTGGAAGGACTGAACTTTCCTCATTCTATCTACTTGTCCCCCAGATCCAGCAGAAAGGACATTTGGCAGATAATAGGTGGTGGATTGTTTCAGTTATGACCCCACTTTATGGAATATTTTTCTGTCTGAATTGAGACTGGCTTCCTCTTTTTAACTTACCAGAAGTATCTTAAGATCTGGTTGTATCATTAGTTTTGAGGACCCAAGGGATCCATTGAGATGGCTCCAATGTGTAACATCTGGCTCTTCACCTAATGTCTTTTTTATTTAGTTTTAGTATTGTGCTTTTTATAATTTTAAAGTTTTTAATATTAATAACAATATTAATTCGTATAGTGTAATTGTTTTTAACTTTGTTGTTAAAATCACTTGTTTTTGATAAGTGATAAATATGATGAGTGAATAAATAAACAAACAAGGAAGAGCAGCTGGCAGGGGTGGCCAAGAGAGACACTGCAGATTCAATAGTGCCCCAATTATACCCATTCCTGATTGAGAGGCTCTTCAGTCAGTCACTTGTGCCCTAATCACCTCACAAATGCAGTGAGTTCTACATGGAGCTGCCATTAAAGATAACTAGTCCAAATTGCAGTGGAATGGACAGCTATGAGCATGCTACAGTTTCCCCATGTGTTACAACTGCTCTGCAAGTTACACTCATTCCCAGTCAAATTCTGGGTGCAATTCAGAATACTGCTATCTACAAAGCCTTTCAACAGATAAGGCTGGTTATTTGAGGGCCTGTTCCATGACCTAGGAAGCATGCCTGCTCTATCACAGCACCTGCCCTTGAAACAGACTCCCCCCCCCTGAGAACCATATAGTTCCCACCCTGATAATATTCAGAAAACTATTAAAAACCTGGCTATTCTCCCCGACCTTGGGGAAAATGTGGGTAAGCCCCTATAAGACATCTTATTTGTTGTACAGTGAAGTGTTTATCTTCTGGATGAATATTTCTTTATTTTTTAAGTGCAAATTTCCCAGAGTCATTTATAGAATTGGACAGCATCAAAATTGTTTAACTGCATAAACCAACAACAACAAAAAAAAAAAAACAATGAAGACACAGAAACAGCCAAAAAGCTGCCTTTCTCTGGTTTAAGTTATAATTATCTTGAGTGAAAATACAATATTCTTTTAAGATCCAACACTGGAAAAGATTATTGACACCTATAAGGTGTAAAGAAATCAAACTGATTTATTTTTTCACAATATTTTTTTATTATATATTTTCTTTTCTTTGTTCTTTTCTGATGGCCAACATTTCACGGCTCCTGAGCATGCTGTGACTGAATTTTGTTTTTTTTGGGGGGGAGGGGGTGGCTGTTCTTTAGCATTTTTAAAGAAACATTCTTAGTAATATACAAGTCTGAGGATTCTCTTGAGCATGCTAAATTTCTTTTTTTTCTTCAGTAGCTCCCATTTATTTCTAATTTTCTCAGCACTCAACACTCAAGTTGATTATTAACAGGAATAAAATGGTTTCTGATAATGCAACAGCTGTTATTTTATGTAAATACAGGTTATGTGGTAAACCATAGAAATCATGATTGCCATCAATCTATTTTATGGCAACTGGCTGAGACTAAGCAGAATTAATAGAATTGCCTGGAAGAGTTAATAAGGCCTGCTGAATAATTGTGTTCCTCATGTATTCCTATAAATGAGTGCAGACTCATATATTCTCAGTGCTTGGAATTACTTTAGTCATGACGAGGATGAGAAACAAGAAATCTTATTCTTGGGACCAACTCATAAAACATCACACACAGAATGCCAAATCCAATGTGCATTTTAATATAGCTTTTATTTGTGATATTTCTGTCTGCAGCATTTTCAGTATGAAGCATGAAAATAAATGAAGCTTAAAGTTTAATGCAGATTAAGCCTTGCTCATCAGAAAATTCTACTCTGCTAGAATTGGAAAATAATTTCCCTATAGACCTCACTAAGATTACTTGAAGTTTTGTTCCCAGTCAATCCTTGGTGAAATAAATACGAGCAAAAATAAAATAGGCAGAGAAATTAGTTACATGATTTTGAATCAGTTCCTCTTTCTCAATCCATCTCATCCTCATGGGATTCTTGTTGTAGAGAAAATAGGAAAAGGAAGGATTATGTAAGGTCACCTTTAATTATAAAAATAAAGACAGGTTCTTAATTAATGTTTATCTCTTCTAGAAAAAAAATCTATCTCCTGAAAATATACAAAGTGACCAAAATTCCTGCTTCCCTGCTTTATTTTCACAAAGAAATGTCCCATTTAATCAGCCTAAGAAGCAATATATTGTGAGAGATTTGGACTTTCATGAGTGTATAGGACCTGGAAAAAATAAATCACAAGCCCTGGCCATTTCAAATATGCTTAGAAGTAAATAACACTCCCCTCCCTGTGAAATGATGTTTGGATTTTATGTTTAATAAAAATCCAAAGACAAATATATTAGAGTGGAAATTTTCCTGTTACTAGTTGATAAACTGAAGGGTATTTAAATTGACCTTCAATTCTTAATCTAAAGCAGGAGCTAGACCAGTGGGTTATTTGAACAATTGTAGGTTGCAGATTATATAGAAGCCTCTAACACAGGTCGGCAACCTGCGGCTCCGGAGCCGCATGCGGCTCTTTGAGCCTTCCCCGGTGGCTCCCAGCCTCCTCTGCCTTTGCAGAGAGAGACAGAGACAGAGAGAGGCAATTGCGCTTCCCTGCTTCTCTCTCTCTCTCTCTCTCTGTGTGTGTGTGTGTGTAAAAGATTGCACTCACAGTGTTCTCCGAGGAGCTGAAAAGCTTTCTGGACGGAGCTCCTCCCTTTGCTGCATCTCTGCAGGAAGCAGGAAGCAGGAAGGGCAGGAGAGAGCTAGCTAGCCCAGCTAGGCTGACTCAGGAATTCTGGGAGTTGAAGTCCATGAGTCATAAAAGAGACGAGGTTGCTTACCCTGAGCTTGTTGGACAACAGCTTGAAGCTTGCCAGGTGAGCAGCAGATAGGAGAGAGAGAGAGAGAAAGAGAGAGAGGGAGGGAGGGAGAGAGAGAGAGAGAAAGAGAGTGGGGGAAGAGGAGTGGCAGGCAGACCAAGGGCAGATAGAGAGAGAGAGAGAGAGAGACCCTTTTGACATCTAAAATGAAGATAACACTGCATATATCCTTTTTTTACCTGTATGTGTATGTATGTGTATATATATATATGTGTGTGTGTGTGTGTGTGTGTGTGTATACATATACACACTCACACATATATACACACAAACACACACACACAAACACACACACACCTATAATAAAGGTAAAAAAGGATATATGCAGTGTTATCTTCATTTTAGATATCAAAAGGATTTTGCGGCTCCCGGTGTTTTGTTTTTGGTGGGAAACGGATCCAAGTGGCTCTTTGAGTGTTTTGGGTTGCCTACCCCTGCTCTAACATTATCGTTTCATGAAATCAGTCATCTACATTGATAGGCACTTATTTACTTTACACCCTTGACTCTCTATCTGGCCCCCCAGAAAGCAAAGGGTTGACATTAAATGAGTGCTTGTTAATGAAAATAAGTGATGGGTGTGTTACACAGGTGACCAACAACTCTATGTGAATCCATCAAGAATTCCAAAGTTTTATTTTCAGTCTTATATTTTAGATAATATTTTAGTGTTTTTTTCAGAAGGCAGCAATTTATTTTCATGGTTTGGTTCCATCAATATAAATTTATTAAATAATTAAAATTGACTCATTCCTGCTTGAAGCTATGTTCATAATTGTTGTCAAGTGAGGTGGATCAAATAAAGTATGTGGGTAAAAAACAAATTTCTGGTTTGCTGAAAAAGTATATATAGCTAATTAGCTAACATTAATTAGTTGTCACTTTTGGAGTATTTGAGAATGAACTGATCTTTGTAGGACCAAATTTTGTTGAATTAGGTTGATATAGTTGAAGTAAATATGTTTAGGACCTAACGTTTGGAAAAGTTCTTCTTTCCTCTTATTGGAACAATGAAGGAGACTAGTAAACCAAATGTTGATATTTCCCAGAATTCAAATCCACAAATTTGAAAGAATATCAGATTGAACTATGTACACTTTGAATGAGAGCCTTAGGGTTTTGTTGGCACTTCTGCTCTGCAATACATTCTCTGCTTCTTATTCTGTATTCAGTGTACAGTGTACAAGTATGATGAATTGTATTGTCTTCAGGGCATAATTATATTGATAAATGAGTTCAGGTAGTTCTCACTGTTCAAAGTTATGATAGCACTGAAAAAGGAAACTTTTGGCTGAGCATCAAAGTTAGGGCCATGGCACTTGATACCTGGCATGTATTAATGATGGTTACACTGTTCTATAGTCACATGATTACCATTTGTGACCTTCATAATTAGCTTCCAACTAGCAAAATCAATGGGCAAACCAATAGAAAATTACAAGTTGTGATGAACAAGGTATCACACTTAATGACCCACAATGATTTGCTTACTGGCTACAGCCAGAATTTACAAACTGACATCATAATGCAGGTGTGGTCACGTGACATTTTGCTTTGTAATTATGTTGCTTATCAGTAGAATTGCTGGTCCTAGTTGCAGTTGGTAAGTGAGGACTAGCTCTAATGGCACATGTCATGAGCTAGGAGTGTACAAATTATCTAAGCTTCTATTTCACATGTTTGTTAGATTTATATCTCTATTTCAAGGTGTTGTACATTGAGACCTCCTTTATTTCAACCTCACAAAAGTAACATTAGGAGATTTAAGCTGAGAAAATATAATTGGTCCAAAGGACTGAATGAGTTTTCACCGCTAATGGAAAATCTGAATCGGGAACTTCCAGTCCCATTTCAATACTGTACTGGTTCTCTGATTCAAATTCAGGTTTTGAAGGCAATATGAACAGATATGAACCCACTTGGGGTTCAAGATTTAGTTTAATCAGAGGTTTATTGTTAAATACAATCTGAAAAAATAAAACATTTATTTTTATGATAAAATAAGAAACAATTATTAAGGATAACAGATTATATCAAATTGTAAGAAGATAGTTTCAAGGAGTTCGCTGTAATACATTTTCAATTAATTTCCCATATCCATTTTATAGTAGAGAAACTTTAGTCTAAATATTCTAGAAGAATCGTATGGGTTAAGCAAATGTAAAAAGTCTACTATTTCAACTTAAAAATAAAAATATAAAAATATAAAAAGTAAAACTTAAACTTCTTATTAAATAAATGAAAATTTCAGAATACTTTGATACTATCATACCGTAAGGCTTATTGATCTGGTTCATGGGCAAGGTTAGCATCTTTCTGGAAGGATATATCATGCTCTGTTTATGTAGCCGCAAACAATGTCCATATCAGCTAACAAAGAGCAATATGGCAAATATGACTTTTTCTGGTAGTCTTTCCTTGCAGGTAAATTTATCAGATCAAGTGCAAACCACTCCTCTAAAATGGCTGTGTTAGGATTTACAGAGTTGATAAAATTCACCACTCCCACTCCTCCAGTTTTATCCATAAATGGAAGGCAATCTCCAGTCAACTTTTAGCTTATAGCTGTTTTCTAGGAGTTATTTTAGGTCTTATGGCATGCTTTCAGTACTGCATTTAAAATTGCATTTGTCCATTGATTGATTATCTGCTTCTTCCAAATATTTGGCTCCAATTACACAGGGGAGTACCTCCTTTCTCTAGGAATATGCCTGTGATAGGTTATCTCTGTGAGCTTGTACAAAATGGCTTTTTATCATACTTCCAAATATTACCACATCATTAAACATTTTAGTGATTTCATTCAGGAAGGGAACTGCTGTTTTCTCTGTTATGGTTTTATCTGTGGTGTTCATTTTACTTATAATTCTAATTCAAGTTTCAGATAATCAAATCACTTTAACTTTGATACCCATAGAGCAAAACACCAAGGTTAGCAACCTGTTCTAATATTTGTTTAAGCTTGATAATGAAAGTAAGCAAAGCAAAGAGGAGAAAAACTGAGGGACAACAAAACTTGAGGTCATGCTTTTAAAACGCATGCACAGTCTTCCCAACACAGACCCCATGGGTTACCTTTGCAATACTGAACTGTAGTTGTGGTTCAGTGCATCTGGGAGAGGCTGCTTTATGATGAAGAATGCAGCTGCTTTTGTCTTCACATAAGATTGTCTTATCTGAAACTGGAATGATGGCTAAAAGCTGCACAGTTGACTTGGCATGTGCTAAACATAACAGCAGATGGGACTAGATTTATTTTTATCTAGACTGAAAATGAACAGAATAATGAATGAGAACAAATGGCTACAATATTTTGATACTCCAGATTGTAGTATTTCTGCGCTGGAAGGATTTGTCTCTAGTACTGATGATGGGAAAAAGTCTAAATTTATAAACTGTTCCAAATGATCATCTCTTCCCATCACAAGCAATGCTACAGAAATTGCTGCAAGGGAGGAGAGAAAGACTTTTTATATGCCCTGACAATCTGCAAAATCTTTTTCTCATTATGGCATGGAAATAAGCCATAATCCATAATGCAGCTGTATTTCAAGAAAGTTCCACAAGTTAGTCAATACTGTTATTGTGCAGCATAATGGCAATTTTGAGTTCAAGGACCAGAAAATTTAAATTCACCCTCCCCATACACATATGGAATTGTGCTTCCATAGAGTCAGTGGGATACATGTATAATAAATTATTATTATTTATAAACATGCAAAGACATTCTTCTAATCACATAATAGAGGATTTTGAATTAGAATGTGATTGTGATGGAGTGGAGAGAAGGCATTGCAGAGGAGCACCAAATAATGTAGTTTAAATGCTACCTTTGTACTCATTGTTAGTTGGTTCTGCGAGCACGATGAGTATCAAAAATGATGATTATTAAACAAAATTTTCCCATAAAGAATAATGTAAATAAATTTAATGCATACGCCAACCAAAGACAATTCACATTTTAAGGCAATATGTAAAAAGATAAGGTTGTATATCATTACTTTACATGACAAATAAACCTAAAAATTAATAAATACTTAGATTTAAAAAAACCAAAAAGTTTACTTTATCTGTACTGATGAGAAAAAAGTGCAAAAATAGACAAAAAGACCACAGAAGCTAGGATAAGATGCAAGGGGATATACACAGGGTTCACCTGGAAAGAGTAGTGAGTCATGAGGCAACCAACACCAACAAGTTCTAGCTTGCGCATTGAGTAGCAAACAAACAACAAATACTGGAACAAAAGTTTCTAGTCAAAATGCACCGAGTGCCATATTTGATGGGTTTCAAAGCAGTTAAATACCAAGGTACCACTGTAGATAGTTTGTGAGAGAAAAAGAGGGTGAGGAAAGTGCCTTCCTAATAGTTCCCAGTGTATGTATTTTATTTACAAGTAGTCTACTTCAGATTGGCAAGATGTCTGCTTAGCAGTAAGGAATAATAAAGAAATTTGCTTAGAAGAATAGCAAAATATCTTCTTTAAATTTTTGGAGCCTAATACTATTAATAACCTATACGACTATTTCCATCTAGTTACATTGAACAAGAAACAATAAATTGGGGGGAAAGGATATATTATCATGCATCATCATCATCACAACTATCTCATTTATCTTTATCTTTTTTAACTTCATGTACTGTGCTAGGTTTTATTGGCTCGCATCCAAAATGAATCAAGGCTTTTATTAATATAAAAACTGTATATTACTTCTGACCTTTGAATGC